AATTTCAAAGTTTTGTTTCAATTTGGCTTGTCATCACGGCTTCGTTGCTGACCTTGTTGTTCAATGCTTGCTCGGCAGCACCCATCGCAACCGATCCAAGCAAACCATCACAAGCACAGATCGATGCCGTCAACAATTCGGTCGCAGAGGTGAGTCATGACTTTTCCATTTTAATTTTCGAGTGCACACGTTCCGTGCCAACGGCAAGTCCTCAAAACATGCAAACAGTCCTTGTAACACGATGACAGTGTGATATTAAAACAAGCATAAGTCATGTAGCAGATAGTCATGCACAGATGTTCTCACGACTCCGCGCGTTTAAGTAGAAGTGATTAAATCACCATTTGTTCTTCAATTTTTCTCTTAACCATACAATTTTCAAGTATGCTCAAATCTTCAGTTTTAACTCGTGGTTTGCTGACTGCCATGACAATGGTTCCCGCGACATGGCGCGTATGTTTTAAAAGGAGATTGGACTGGATTTGTAAGTCTAGGACCGGATTTTAAAACATGTATTTGTAACGCGGAAGGATTTGCCAGTAAAACACGGATTCGTAAAAAGATTTCTTAGAGATGGATTTGGAAAAGTAAATATAAAACATGGATTTTGTAAAAGGAGGATTTGTAAAACATGAATTTCTAAAACATGGATTTGAATAAAAAGGTAGATTTATAGAACCAAGAGACGATGTTTATGTTTACGCAAACCGAAGCAGTTTCTAGGTTGGGTCAAGTTTGAACCAGGTTTGGGGAATTGAGAATATCGCAATGACATCCCCACCCAAATTTTCGGGGAGGTCCCCCCGGAATCACGCCATGCCCAGGGGACTCAAGGAACAAGGAACAGAGTCTGTTTCCACTTAGGGTTTAAATTGTTTTACCATGCTGATTACTTTAATCTGTCCACTGTAGCCTGCGTCGCAGACAGTCTAAATCGCTGGTACGACTATACCAGTTATTTTGTGACACGTTCGGCTGCAACGCAGGCTAGTCCACTGACCCTCTCTTTTGTTATCGAAAAGCATACCGTCGCGTCTTAAGCCGCGCGCGAGCCAACACGCGAGGGGGTCGATCAAAAACAAAATCGCATAAAAAACGTCTTTGGTCTGACTATGCTAACTGACGATAATTGATCGGTGAATGGTCGTTTTCTCGGCAATACAAATTGAACGTCAAATCTAGAAGATTTTTCTGGCAAGAGCTTTAGGAGAGGAACGCGCAAGCTAAAAGTAAACGAAATAAATAAATATAGAAATAAAGAAAAAAATGTTTTAAACTATTTTTCTGAAGAACTTCAGCGTGTTTCTCTCTTTTTTCGATAGCTTGAGAGCCTGGAATTTTGATGAACTTGGGGGGTGAATATCGAGTGTCATTGCACTCTTTTCAATGGCATATTTTTGCATTCTTTTGAGCCACAGCCACGCATCTTAAAATTCATTAGCTTATTGCTACAAATCCGATTAAGCGACTTGTTTGTTGATATCGTGAATTCAATCACATTAAAAATGCTTTCTGTCGAGATTTTAAAAATCATTCGCTGTGTTAAGATTTATTGCGATGACAGCGATAACAGTCAATAGTTATGGACTAATCAAGACCAGACGTTTTAGCTATTTATTATATAACTGAGAAAATAAGCTTTGATTGTCTGAGAACCTCCAGTGCAGTGCAAATTAACGCGCGCGCCCTCGTGATTGTCACCGTCATACAATGAATGTGTAATCGTCTGAAAGCTCGAGCAATTGAGTTACTCGTGACATTTGAAAATTTTGAGAGAATTTTCAAATATCACGAGTAGTGTTTATACGATTACCTACACTAATTTAGATTGCGGGAATCAACACCGAAAATAAACAATGATTTTCGCCAGAGGGATACTCCTCTAGGGGGGGGGGGGGGGGG